CTGCTCGCTGGTCATGAACAGTGCTACTCCCCCTATGCGATTGTCTTCCCTATCGGTTCTGAAGACTGTGAAACCTTTTGGTTTTAACGACTCGACGTCTTCATTCGGTCGGAACCAGGTTTCCGTTACCGCTATGCAGTTGGAGTGGATGCACTCCGAGTTTAATTCACCCCATTTATTCTCCAGGTTGCAGGTATTTATGCTGGAAACTCGCAGGCCTGACCTGTGAATAATGGTGTGGACTTGGGGGTAGCACTCGGGCTCTAGTCCCGAGTTCGCCCTGCGTCTTTTGCAAACGAGGATTTAAGGGTTATGCCAGGCGTTTCTAGCCTGGGCCTGCATTTTAGATTGGGCGGATACGAGTTGGCTGGGGTGTGTGACCCGGGTCGGCTAGTAGTAGGTACAACCGCAGTGGATGTTTCCTTTATCACCTTTGTCACCTACCTCGGGTAGTCGCAGAGAAGGTAACTTCATGGATGTTACATTCGGAAGCAGTTTCTCTAATTAACCCTTTCGATTATTGTCTGGTTCTGCGGATATTGCCCCTTTGGTCTCTGTCCTCAGTTGGGCAGAAGCTGCGAAGAAGGAATCACGGTGCCGTGGGTTGCTGAAGTCGACAAGCACAGATCTCTCCTCATTTCCTTTCGGAGACCATTTTCCTAGCCGTAGCACCCATCTTCGTATTTGTGAGGAGGAGTGCCTAGTAGTCCGAGGAGGGAGGTGACATGGTGCCTTACTAGCGTTTTCCTCTGCTTTGATACCTGACAAAAAGGCGCAGCAAAGCCTTTGATTATTACACTTCTGTGCCTCCCGAGAGCGATGTCGGTGTTCGCCTGGAGGGTTTTCATGCTACTGGATTTCGATACAGCTAACTTGGCTACTCTGGCAACTTAAGTGGCTTGTTTGGCTAGGGAGTAAGTGATTGCCTTCAGTTGACGTGTCATGTCATCCCTAAGATTTTTCATATCCCAATGGTCGATGCTGGGCTGAATGTCCCTTCTTTCTATCTTTCTATCTTTTGCATACACTGCCTAAAACACTTTCACCCTTATTGTGCCAAACTCCTCGTAAAACAGGCAACACAGTTAGCAACTCAGTCAGAACGCATATGGTTCTGTACAGAATGTGCGGAAATCCCGATTGTCAAATGCATCACTTGTATCACACACAAGTACGAGAAGCTATTGTAAGGAGCAGAAGAAAGATGACATTCTAAAATTTTCACACTTGAGTCANCAACAGCTAGCCCGATCCAGAAACCCAGCAAACGACTAAAATACCCCACGACAGGGGACGCACACGGCTAAACTGAGCGCGATGACGAAAGCAAAATTAGAAGCATCTGCTACCTCGGAACCCACACACACCCAGTGGCCTCCCTAATCTGCTTTTTTAAAGATAACAGCTCTGCCTGCCAGCTCGCCACTGTCAAAATCACTCTAACCCCCATAACGCCGGCCACTGTTGTGAAAGTTGCCCTTTCGTATGCGAATGTCACTTCCACTCCACTTGGAAAGGCAG